ATAAAATTCCGCTTGCGGTACGACAAAAATCGGAAGCAGGGTGCACTTATGTACTCAATCCTCGTATATTCGTAATGACTTTATGAAACTCGGTTCCCATGCATTCCCTAATTTTGCTGGTCTCCTAAATTTAAACATGAGTCTTTCGTATCGTATACGCATGGACATATGCTCTCGCGAGTCCAGGACACTTATTCAACTTTGGGCTTAGGTACTGCAATCCCATAGCATAGTGCCTAGAAGAAGACTTAGCTGGAATTTTAACCCTTTCGAATTCATGGGGAAATATGGACAGAATTTTGTCTTATTTCTGACTATCCGTCTGTATTAAGAAGGGAGGGCATTATTACTTTATTCCCCGTGAGTTGGTCGCCTCCAGTATTGTACAGTGTGCCGCATGGACCCATGGATAATAATAATAATAAACACACCAAAGGAGCAAGGACAAAAGCAAAGAGGCAAGGAGGGAAGGAGAACTCAAAGGGGTAGGATGGACCAGAGAGAGAGGATTTTTCTAATGCCATTATGGACCGACCTCAGATGACTGGAGAAGCTGACCCGAAGAGAGGCTGAGAATATCCTATTGCTCTCGACCCCCAAGAACATCAAGTTCAACCCTCGTCCCACCTATACCAGAAGTTTAATAGGACATCTAGTGTCTCTGGAACACAATGCACCATACCAGCACCTCATGTTACGCTGAAGTGCTCGTATCCCAAATGCACCCTAACCCCTTTCACTGCTGTGGGCGTGTAGAGTCTATTTCTTTTGAGAAGACCGAGCCGTTATACCTCAAAGGCTAATCCTTCTCATGATTAATGAGTGGTTAAGGAGAAAAGAGGGCAGCAAATTATCTTCTCCTCACCTGTCCTGATGGATGACTGTTCAAAGGTGTTAAATTGGGATTTTCTCTCTGTCGTCTTAACCCTCTCTATTTTATCCTGTCAAGCGGAGAAAGGGGATACATATATTGATTGAGATATCAATCCCAATGTCATTAACGGTGAGAAATCGATTGATTCCAGTGACAACTTCCATCCATTCGGGACTAAACCTTCCATTGAACACTGCCCCTGAGCTTCACCTCGAAAGCGCGAAAGCCCCGACGGGGTTCCAGCCGGTCTTGCCGCACCGAAGGAGGGCGATCTGACGAATCGCAGAGTCTCGCGAACCTTCCGGGACAGACCGCTGAGAGCATCCGAAGGGATGACATCCTCCTTTTTTTTTTTAAAGGGAACTCGCTCATCTGAGAATCTCATCACGGTTTAAGGACGAATTCCAATCTTACCATTTCACGAAATGGTAATGGATACCTTGGGTAAAAGGAACCCCGCCGCCATGCCACGCTTAGAACTCGCTGAGACTTTCGATACCCTTCCATGCAAAAGGTTACGGGCGAAATTGGAGTCACATGCCATTTGAGAGATGATTAACCCGGAAAGTCAGCTGACGAGGAGAAAGCAGAGTAATTGCGACTAAAGTGTCTGCTTTTGTCGGGCTCGTGAATGGAGTCTCCCGAGGCTCCTTCGAACGACTGCGTCTGTCTCTCGCTTGCATCATTTATTTGGATTACTCTCGTCTGTCTCGTTAATAAAAGCGGTAAAGGGCTCTCCATCACGGCGAAAGCAGACATTCGAACGGCATTCGAACGAATGAAATGGAAAAGGCACGGATAAATGTAGAGTTCGCTCCGGCCGCATTTATTAATACGATGAATCTCTGAAAGCATTTGGCGAGGAGAGGCTCGAGGAAACGAACAGGAATGGGCGATTCGAAGAGACATCAACGAGGGACCCGAATTTTCCGGGCACGAGCAGGCAACATATAGGGACAAAATTAATTTCGTCGATAAAATTTTGCCGCTGATATGTTCAAGAAAGAATCTGCTATTTGAGAGCAAGAATTTGTTCAAGACGGTATTCTAATTAAATAACAAAGTGGAATAGGAGACAGCCTATGCATAAGGTTGAAAGTGGTATCATTATTTACTAGATATGCTCGAGAAAGGAGTTTTCTTACTGGGAAAAAGCCATGAACGATTTAAAATATTATACCAAACCAACTCGGACCGTTGGAGAAAAGCCTCTTTGTTGCCTGAAACGAGCAGAAAGTGAGGATCCCCCTTCGAATTACTCCAGAGAAGAGGAAGAACAGAAATCTATCTCTTTCCTTACTTCCCCGTCTTTTTTTTTTTTTTTTTTTTACCCGTCTGCACGTCTGCAAATACATACTTGTGGGTATGAAAAAAAGGAGCCATTTCTCCAGGCAATTCTTGCCCCCCACCGCCATGCCCCGGTGAACCCCGCCATCAATTTGCCGCATTACGAAAGGGGAGAAGCCAATCCTCAGAGCTGATATAACTCTTACAGCGCCGAAAGCCCCCGGGTCTCCCCGCCCCTCCGAGGAGGAAATTTAAGCGAGTTTTCGACGGAGCGTGTGCAAAATGGTTACCATCCCGTGAAAAGGCGGGTAAATTCTCCAAGATGGTTCTTCGAATGGGGAGAAACCGTCAATAATTTCGACTGGGACTGTTCTCGTCGTTTATTTATGCCGTTGGGTATATCAGCATTCCTGCTAGTACGAACCTCGATTCGTTCTTGAAAATCATGAAAATCTTCAAATGCTTCAGTTAAAGGTCCTTTATTCATGGACTCTTTGGGCGGAATTTTGAGCAGAGCATTATCCGATAATGCAGCTTCATTTCGGAGAAAATGCATTATAAATCCTGTAAATAAAGCTGCATTATCCGATAGTGCTCTGTCCAAAAACCCACCCTTAGGGAAGAAAACGAGTTCTCTCTCTCACAGGCCCCCTTATCTCACCTAAACGAGGCATCCGAGCCCCGGCCCGAAAACAAGGAAGAATCAGAGAAGCAAAGAGAACTCCTCATTCCCTCTTCCTCCTCGGATGGAATGGATGCGATGCGGCCCGTCAAACGGACGATCACGAGACCAGACGAGTTCGAAGCGAGAGAGCCCGAAGGGAGGTCGCACGTACAAGTGCCTCGGCGCCTCATTCGCTCCTCGACTCTCAGGTAAGTCGGATCTCGTACCAGTCGCTGGGGCTCGAGTGTCTCGAGGGAAACTGCAACGAGGGAAATTGCATTTCTGGGCAGGTCTTTAATTCCCTCTTTCATTTATCAGGGAAGAACATGTAATCGTCTGGACGTGAACTCCCCGAGGGAGAATTGCAGAGAGTAGCCATTTCTGACTGAAATCCTCTCGGGAAAAATAAAAGTCAGCTCGTCTGGCTTCTTTCTTGTTTTCCTCGAGGTTTACGCTGGCCTTTCGCCTACCGTTCGCGATCGAATCGATTTGGTATATCAGTTGAAAAACAAGAGAATCACATCGACGAACGAGCTTCAATTTCAGGACATCAATTTTGGCAAAAATTCGATCCAAAATTGACCGAGTCCCCTGACAAAGGTCCTCGTCCGATATCGACGATTTTTTTTACACCTTTCTTCTTTTTTGGTGACTCGGTAATTTCGATACACCAGCTTTCTTTTCATTCCGTCCCTGGGTTTCGCGAGTTGAAGTTTGCCCGAGTAAACTCCATCTCGCAAACGAAACCGAAATGGGATTTTAAAATCCTCTCATTTAAATACTTCAGTCCTTCTAAAGACTGTTTTGTACTTTCTTTTTTTTTTAAGCTGCTTAGGAAGTCGTATATTTCCCGGCGACATGTTGTTTTGGCGACACTCCATCCTCGTACCCTTTAGGCAAAGATTAAGGGCTCTATTCAAGAAAAATTCAATTAGTCTGGGTGATGTGACTAGAAAGTAAATGAGAGCAAGACTCCGGGCAAGAAACGGCTCCAGCGGTGCCGCGATCGAACATCTAAGAGGATCCCGGCACCGCTCTCAGCCGATCCCGGCACCGCTCTCAGCCGATCCCGGCACCGCTCTCAGCCGTTTCGTGCACCGCCGCAGCCGATATTTTATATCAATAATCAACCAAACACAATTTTTGTCCAATGCATGATGAGTTCAGGCACGGACGAAGCCTGACTTTGCTGGAACAAGATCTCAGAATGAAAAACTTTGACGAAGTCGGCCATTTGAAAAATAAAAATAAAAATAATCATAATGATAGTAGATAAATAAATCCGATCAACTCAATAAAGTTTGTGAAAACGACCCTTAGTCCCTGACATGCTGAAAATGCACCTTCGGACCAACAATTGTTTTTGCCCCATCTTTCCGGGGCGTTTTTTTTTATATTTATAATTCTTAACCGATGATTCGAATCATGCTTCACAGCTCGGCTGCCGAGCTATCGTGACGCACCTTGACGTCATCGCCATCTAGGAACAGTAAATACGCATGGGCGTCTCGTGACGCAAAATTGCGTCGCACGGCAACGAAAGAGTTGCGAAGCGTTTCCATGCGTTATTGAAGAAAAACTAGAGAGAGAGAAAAAAAGAAATTGATCAGTATGGATCAGATGTATGGATAACATGCTCCCACCAAAAGTATTTCTCCTTTTGGTCAATCTTTAACTACGCTCCACCCTCTCTCCGGATTTGAATCCCGACTTCCACTCCGGACGCGAATCCGGACGCGAATTCGGGAACGCAAGCCTCACAAAATCCAAACGACGGATGATTTCGGGCTTAAGAGCCCGGATTCGTGGCAGCAGGTATCGACAGACATTCGGATTGGGAAGCCAATCACGTCCGAACCCCATGTGTCAATAATAATTTTCCGCAGGTGATGGGAGACGCATAATGGAGGTAGAGCAGAAAGAAAGGAAAGAAAAGGAAGGCGGGGGAGAGAAAGAGAGAGAAAGAGAGAGAGAGAGAGAGAAAAAAAAAAAAAAGGCGGTTCTCCGGAACAGAGACTCACCTTGTCCCAAATCTACGACTGGATGGTCCAAAACGTCCCCTATTTCAAGGACAAGGGTGACAGCAACAGCTCTGCCGGGTGGAAGGTAAGAGATAGAGAGAGAGAGAGAGAGAGAAAAAAAAAAAAGGAGGTATGGATAGAGCATGCTTGGATTTCCCTCTCTGGGTGGAATGCCATCGCCGTTCTCCCAGTCCCCTGTGTTCCGTGTCCATTACGCTCAATCACACGTAACTGGAGAAACATGCACCTTTTCACTCGAGTTTTCCTTCAGGTTAGTCCTGCTACGGATATGGGTGTTTCGAATTCACTTACCTCTTCTTTTCGCCCCGGATTCATCCACGCCGAGTCGTTTCGAATCGTCTTGCCGTGATTGTCGTAGGCATCTACTCGAAGGCTGACATATTTTCAAAGAAAATTTCTCTCACTTATTAGCGAATTTTGATTTTCTGGAACGACCTATAGCGGGTTCGTATACGTTCCGAGAAATAATCTGCCGAAACGACACTCTGCCGGAAAACTCAGCCTCGACTTTCCGGCAGTCCCTCACAGAACGTCTTAGATCCTTAAGACTCCCTATACCGTCCCGGTACGCAAAAATATCCGACCGACCCCACAGAACTTGCTGCTGATGACGGTGTGGAGCTTCGAGACCTGGAGCCCCTGGATGCGGCGCTGGGGACCGATCCCGACCTACAAACGCCCCCTCCGACGGGACCCCCTCCTCTTCCCCAGCCCCGAGGAGATCCTCCGGAACTTCCACCCCGGGTTGAACCCCAACTCCTCGGTCCCGATCAACCCGGGCCTGGTGATCTTCTCCCCCGTGAAACCGAGCTCCCCGCCCAGGTCTTCTGCCAGCATTGCTCACGCCGCTCCCGTCCTTCCGTATAGGTGAGTGTTTCGGTACCGTCTGCTCTTTCATCGTTGACATTTTGGAACGCGGGATGATAGCATCGATTTTCGAGTCTTGTCAAAATGTTTCATTTGTCCCTTTTTTGCCTTTTTTTTTTGCACCCGTTCGGAGACAAAGTTCCGGCCACGTGACGCACTGTTCTAAAACATGATTTTTTCTGCAGATGTATGACGACAGTGGAAGTTTTTTTTTCTGATTTCCTATTCCATGTTTCCCGGGAAATGAAATCAATAAGAAGATCCCTATATCGCAATCATACGGTTGCGATTAGCTCTGTAACCGTGTTGCGATTGGCTCACAGCCCCAGGACTTTATCCCAGACACTTTATCAAGTTGCAAACAAATTAAGTACTTTGAAACGTGTAATGCTAAATATTGCCTTGTTTCCATATGCATAAGTGCAGTTTCGTGGTGAACGCGGCCAATTGTGTGATCCGCCTACACGATCATAGATCTTTTCTACTCCTTTCGGGATGGTTCATCCAATTTAAAGCTAAGCGAACAGTTTCAATGATTTTCATTACCGGGCTTCAGGGCAGGGCCGGATTAAGGGAAGGGTAAAGGGGGCTGTTGCCCCGGGCCCCACTCTTCCAGGGGGGCCCCGAAGGAAATTAACGTTAAATATTGTGACGGATAAGGATGGCATCGAGAGGCTCGACTGAATGTGCAG